TCTAGTAATATTTAAATGATATTTAAAATAATATAACACCATTATTTTTGCATTTATTAAAAATACCTATACGTATACCTGATTACTTAACATGTTGAAGGAATATTTTAAACAGTTAATCTTGAATATTTAAATACTTATTTTAATATTTAAAATATATATATATGAAAAAATAGTACAAATGTAACATTGTACTGGGATAAGGTGCATAAATTAAGAAAAAGGCATCTCCTTATCGTGCAACTGAAAGTTGCTGATGGCTGGCGCCATCTATCGGAATAAATATCAACTATTCTCGTTGATTTTTTAATTATTCCAGAATTGGCCAAATACCCATTATTGATTAATCAAGAAAAGCTAACCACGGACGCGTTTCGGGCTTTAATTATTCCAGAATTGGCCAAATACCCATTATTGATTAATCAAGAAAAGCTAACCACGGACGCGTTTCGGGCTTTTCTTGATTAATCAATAATGGGTATTTGGCCAATTCTGGAATAATTAAAGCCCGAAACGCGTCCGTGGTTAGCTTTTCTTGATTAATCAATAATGGGTATTTGGCCAATTCTGGAATAATTAAAAATCAACGAGAATAGTTGATATTTATTCCGATAGATGGCGCCAGCCATCAGCAACTTTCAGTTGCACGATAAGGAGATGCCTTTTTCTTAATTTATATATATATATATATATATATAAGAAATCATAGATATTGTGTTGTCTTAAATATTTTAATCAATACTGATGGTTTTCTCCAAAATTCTCAACGGAGTTCAAGATTGTTGAAAATATTTATGGAGTCGTAGAGGAAGAGAAAAGATCCTTTATTACTTAAAGATATAAAACAATAAAAGAAGGACAAAGAGATCAAATTATATGTACATCAGCAGCTCACGCAGGCCTGCCCTATCAATTAACCACTAGCCAACTAAACAATCCAACAAGGCCGCACTATATAGGCAGAGATGTCAATTAGCATAGACTATACTAAAACTCTATGCAAATCACAAGAGTACACTATCGTAAAAATATTCCGGAATTGTAACTTTCAACAAAGATAAATACAAGATATTTATCAATTGTTTCTCCTTTGAAGTCCTAAACAATCATTTAAAAAAAAGATCAATTGTTAACTTCCGTTTAGATACGATAATTAGAATCATACATAACCAACAGACAAATAAACATCCTATTTATGTAAATAAACAAAAACATGTATTCAGAAAAAGTATAGCTACATCAACCAAGGGTTTATTTAACTCCCGACGTTTCAGTAACCTGCTCTTATTTTTCTCAGAAAAACAAACATATATTTTTTTATTTGATATAAAATCATTTGTTCTCAATGAATTCTATGTATATAATATTAACTCTTTATTCACCTTTGTCCTAAATATCAATTTTCGGCTACTAGAGTTGAAGATTTCTTGTATGAATTCAAATAATGGATAGCAACTCTTAAATACAGAATAATTTCTAACACTTTGCCTGATGTTTTAATTTTTGTTCGCTCCTGACGAGGATAAAAGATTTCTGTCGAAACGTCGAGATAATAAAAAGATTTACTGGCCGAAGTGTCTTTTATTTGAAGAAATATATTTTAAAGACAAATAAGGTTATATTTTATTTATTTATTCATTTATTTTTCGCTTATCCCTAGTACACATGGTATAGGCCATGATAATCATGGTGGGTAGAAGTAGGTGACTGCCTTTACTGTAAGTATTCCACATGTCTACACATGTGAAAAGCAGTTTGACTTTTGCACTTACAAATATGCCAGAGCCCCGTTTGGTTACTTGTACTCGCTGGTGGGGTTGGACTTTTACAAGAATCGGGGGCCATTGGAGGATTTTTTTTAATCAGAAAAAAATGCCCAATGTGAGAATCGATCCCGGGTCGTAGCGGTCGAAACTCAACGGTTTTAGACCACCCTTCAACCGATCCCCTTGTTATATTTTATAAATTTTATCAATATAAACTATTTTTCCTCCATTAAAATAAATCAGTAATAGTTGTATTTAGAAGTTGCTATATCCATTATTTGAAATTCATACAAATATTCTCCAACTCTAATAGCCGAAAATTGAGATTTAGGACAAAGGCGATTAAAGAGTTAATATTATATACATATAATTTATTGAGAACAAATGTTTTTATTTCAAATAAAGCAACTTTTCCACTGTCTTCACTGCGATGTAAAACATCGGAAAGCTTGACTCAACAGTGAGGAACCCTCTCAGCGGTTTCGTCAATTTGGAGTAAAGACATTTGCAGTAAGCACAGTAGTAGTTTATTTTATTTGTAAAATAAACATTCGTGTTCAATGGTTGCATTTCTTGGTAATAGAATGCGCGTTATATTGCTTTATAGAGAATTTGATGAACAGATCTATAAATATAGCCAGTTTAAAGCTAAAGGATAGACTGTGAAACCAATGTTCAATATAAAAGAGCTATTTTGAAATCTAGTTGATTTAAAGCCCCGCAGAGAAACCGATTATCCATTTATGATTAATTGAATATTTATTATTTTTAACCCATTATATATATATATATTCGATATACTAGGTATAGGCTAGGTCTGGGGAATATGGTGGATGAGTGACTAATTGGATACCAGAGTTGGCTAAAAAGTCTAAAGTTTGGGCTGAGGTGTACGGTCTTGCATTGTCATGGTGAAGGACTCCTCTAGTTGAATTCTTGGTCTGCTTTGCTTGATTTCTTTAAATACTGCTTGAAATCATTTTGTTGTATACCAGTCATTATTAACTGTCTTCTCAATCTTCCAACTTCATAATATTAATTAAACCACTTTTTCTAAAAAAGCAAGCTGTTAGGTACCCATCTACTAACAAGTTTCTGTATTTTAAATGATCATTAATGATGATTTTGATTGCTGCCGATCCAATGCCCACACTTTTCTCTAACTGCTGATATGCAATTTTTCGATCTTCTCTAAGTTAAAATCTTACCAGGTCAATTTTTTTCTTGGGCCACTGCTGTTGGTGGTCGACCTGAATGAGGTTCATCTTCAAGTTTGGTTTTTCAAATTTAAATTCAATAAACAAATAAAAACTGTTCTATTAGAAGGAGCTTTACGTCCATTGTGTCTAATGCAATGTTTAGAAATTACCGCTACCGCTGTAAACTTAGTCGCGCCCTCTATGAGTCATTGTTGTTACTATTTAATAAAAATGTTCATGTTAGGTAAAATATGCATGTGAATTTTAATGGTATAATTTATTTTATTATATTTGAATTATTTAATATTGAATGCAAAACCCTTTGGAGTGACCCTTGTATATATAAATGTTAAAAAATTTATATAGAAAGTAAACCCCTGATATGTTTATCTTTTCGCACGGTAAGAAGGCGAGATTGGACGATCAAAGAATCTACGACCAACTTGTTACGAGACGCCTTCAAGTCCGCCCAAGATCCATTTTTTCTCTAAAGCTTCCCTTGTTATACAGCATCATATAATACACTCGTGAAAAAAACTTAAGGAATGGCGTGTGGCTTCAATAAAGGTCACTGTGTATCAAATACCTTTCAGAGTTATTGTCTTAATCCCGATATATATGCTAAAAGGTACAATTTAAATACTTCAGACATATTTTGATAAATTGTGATAGAGTACATAGAAGAAGAAAATATTTTTTTCTATATCATATACATGTGGTGATTTGCAAGAAGTCGTGGTAGTTGTGTGTAAAGTGGTAAAACGCACACAGAAAGCAGGATTCAGGAGCAAACCCCGTAAGGAGTAAGTCATAGAGGAGAAAGAGAAGGCCAGAGGACTACCCTGGGAACCACCAATGTGGAGTCAACCTCCGTAAGCACTGTCCCTGATGATGATCATTAAATTCAGGTGCTTTTAAATTCTTCTCAATCGGATAAATTATTCACCAGGGGAAAGGAGATAAGGCGGGGAGTTCCCGTGAATGTTTATTTTTAGAAGGCTGGACATGTGGTCACCCAGGGGATTATTCTGACCAAGCCATTTTCTCTTCCCGTTCCTCATACTCTGGTATAAGTATTATGACATACATATGGCAATGGTGACAAAGTTTCTGCTTCTTTCTTATCTCCACTCAATCATATTAGGGTATCAGGTTGTGACCGTTGATAGTGTCTTTTTGACAACCATCATAATTGGGTGAAATAGAATGCATCTGCCTTTGTCATTAAGACTGGGAACACTACTTAGCTCCAAAAGAAATGGCCGCATCTGACATGAGGAACAGACGCCATGTGCAGCTGCTCCTAACCTAAGTAGCAAACGCTTCTCATCCTGTTTCCCTGAAACAGGAGCCCTTACAGGGTAATATCAGCCGGGCCAGCTGAGCCCAGGTTTTTTACCGAACTTGTTACTGCTCCCCCTCCTTTTACATCTGGGCTTGGGACCGGCAAAGGCGGAGTTACAAAGTTTCTGAGAGAGAAAAGTTCGAAGTTTAAATTAAGAAGAGAGAGATGATTCTTTGACCTGAATCTCTTTCATTACACACTAGTTTATGGAATAGTGTTTTTCTTTTGATGTGTGAAATGTAAAGCTAATCAAAATATTATGTTGAACATTTCAAAATTCAGATATTTTTATATAAGATACAGAATATATTTATTAAACTTATATAAATAATATTAATATATTTTTATCTAATTATAATTGTTTTTTTTATATATTCAAACAATTGTAGTACTCTCACAAGGTATATATACTCGCTAAATTAAGTAGAGGGATTTGTTAAAGAAAAAAAAAAACATTTTTTTCTCAAAATATTTCGAAAGTTACCTCACTCTTTATGAATATATTGTACAATGTGCAATAAATAGATAAAGAAAGGGCAATCCCTCGATATTCTACGAGAAAAAAATGTTTTTTTTTTCCTTTAACAGATTCAGGTACGCCTTTTTTTATATAAATATTTTGTATAAAAGTATGTATTTTATTAACAGAGTGTGTATCCTTTTTGATATGTATACTTTGCTACATAGTGGTTCTCACACCGGGAATCGAACACGGGCCTCCTGGGTGAAGGCCAGGTATACTAGCCACTAGACCACGTGGCATTTTGGTGGTGATGCTGGGTAGATTAGGGAAGACAAACTGAAGATCGCCAAGAAGATCTTAATGCAATGAGTGTTGTGATTTACATTTTCAGAGACTGGCTCCATAATATCACCGCCGTGTCAAAGCCAAGACTTCCATTCAAGATGACGATGTCCCTATGGGCGATACGACGACAAAGCCGCTCTTCACGCCGCAATAAAAGGACGCAAAGGTACTAAGGACAAAGTTCCAAGACTTCGATATAATCCTTGGCAGATGCACCTCAGATTCATTTCAGTATTTACATTAATTGCAAGCTGTGGGTCAGCTCCCTTACGGAAGTTTACAGAGTAGCAAAATATAAACATAAAAATGATACTCTGTTAAAAAAATAATAAATACTTTGCTACTTAGCTCCTTCTTTATGGGAGCTGTGACCCACAGCTTGCAATCTGACCTTCTTCTGCCAAGGATTCAATCGGAGTCCTTGGAACTCTGTCTTTATAACTTTTGCGTCTTTTTTTCTTGCGGCGTGAAGAGCGGTTTGTCTTCGTATCGTTTATAGGGACATCGTCATCTTGGAGGGAAATCTTGGCTTTAACACGGCGGTTAAATCCTGGAGCCAGTCTCCGAAAATGTAGATCACAGCCCCCATGGTCTCAAAGCCTTCTCGGCAATCTTCAGTTTGTCTTCCCTAATTTACCCAGCATCTCCACCAAAATGTCACGTGTAAAATTAAGGAAGACAAATTTTGAGATAACACAGCAATTTATTTAGGGCAAAAACAAATTATGAATGATAAAAAAAGATAAGCAATGGGGGAAGTTTACAGAGTAGCAAAATATAAACATTAAACATGATACTCTGTTAATAAAATAATAAATACTTTGCTACAATATTCGGATTATTCCCTTTTGACTAAAATTAAGTTATATGTTAGTGATTTAGATAACTTCAGAGTTATTGATGATAGTTTTTTTTTTTTTACATTGGAAACATATGTAACAAAAATATATTTTAACTATATTTTGAAACTTATAATCATTATCAACCCCTCTTTCTGAAGAAGAATAAGTCCAGAAAGCTTGTTGATTGATAATTAAACAAAAATATATTAAGGAATATATTAATGTGTAAATTTTATTAATTATATAATATATAAAATATAATTTGTATAATATACGAATATATTTGAAGTTAACGAAATATATTGCGCTACAAATATTAAAAGAATGAAAATAAAAAACCTTTCGCAAAGAGTTTCTTTTTATTATATTTCACGCGAGCTTTCGGGCTAGAACCGCCCTTCTACAGGAAAAATGAACTATTGCTTTTCGAGAGACATTTATAAACATATGTTACAATTACAAATTTACATAATTACAAAAATTTGCAAAAATATTTTTATCAGGAAGAAAAGAATTAAATTTACATACATTATTACTATTTTACTATGATTTTTCAAATGGAAGGAAGATAACCTTAAATTTCGATATTTTAAAAATTAAGTTTTACCCTATGAATTGGACAAGCGAGAGATCTGATTTTTGTGGTGTGGAATATGGCAAAATTGTTCTGGGATGTGTCAAAAATCAGATCTCTTGCTTGTCCAATTCATAGGGTAAAACTTAATTTTTAAAATATCGAAATTTAAGGTTATCTTCCTTCCATTTGAAAAATCATAGTAAAATAGTAATAATGTATGTAAATTAAATCATTTTCTTCCTGATGAAATTTTTTTTGCAAATTTTGTAATTATGTAGATTTGTAATTGTAACATTAAAATATGCAAGTATCAGAGTCATCAATCAATTCTGTCACCGTTTGCTTTTGTGAATGGAATAAATACCCAAATATGGCCATTTTTTATAACCATCGGTGGTTCAGTGGTAGAATTGCCCGGGTCATTCGGCTAGTATGTATATAAATGTCTCTCGAAAAACAAATAGTTCATTTTGCCTGTAGAAGGGCGGTTCAAGCCCGAAAGCTCGCGTGAAATATAATAAAAAGAAACTCTTTGCGAAAGGTTTTATTTTCATTCTTTTAATACGAATATATTTATAAATATATATATATTTTAGAAATCGTTTCGGAAAAATCTAAAATTTTAAAGATATATTTTTTCAAAATTCAAAATATATCAAACAGAATGTTTGTATCCTTTAAAATAATTTAAAAAATTGAAAACTACATAGGTGTCTTTGTGTATAATATCAGCCAGATGTGTATGTGTGTTCCTATTATAATTCAATAACATCTTTAAAATTCATCAAGTTGTAGATATATGTATGATTGTTTTGAAAGGGCGTCTGAAATTCAGAGCAAAAAAAACATTCAAAAACCTTTATTTTCTATTTTACTACTGTAAGAGAGGTTTATTGAAGTATAGATATTTTCCATGAAAAACTTGCTGTTCAAATTTTTTGAAAAGTTTTAGCCATTGAACTACAATATATAGAACGTAATGATGTGTGGGAAGGAAATAATTTCAATAGGAAAGTCAGTAAGAAACAATAGTGGAATCGTTTGAAATAAATATCTGCAGAAGGATGGAAGACGAAATGAGAAATAAATAAGAGCCTTAAGAAGTGACTAAACCTGTTTATATTATGAGAAAAGATTAAAAGATAGGTCACGTATGTTGAGAAGAACTAAATTCAAAATGTTCTGGAAGAAAATAAATCAAGAAAGAACGCCAGGAAAAACTAGATGGAAAGAGAAACTAAAGAAAAAAAGAGAAAAGATCCCAAGATAGACAAGGGGATGACGCCATTTTCTAAGACCTTCTTATGAGCTAAGAAACGGATGAAGAATTACATTCAATATTTCCCTATCATATTCATTATAGGATATGATTTAAGGTATCAAGAGAAATACTAAACACTAATTGTTAACGGATATATTTATGGCGTTAGGACCTGACTTCAGGTATTTAAGATGAATTCTCAACATTTATTTTAAACGAGTATCTTTTCAAAATAAATATATAATATGGTTTATAGTTTTTCTCTATAAGAAAGATAGGAATTTTTACTACATGTGATCAATTTTTAAGGTATTAAGGAGATATATTCTCAAATTTAATTGTTAACGAGTATCTTTTCAAAATATAGATAACATGGTCTATTTATTTTTTCTCTAGAGAGAAAGACAGGAATTTATTACTACATAATGTATTTTTCAACATCCTCCATATTATAATTTGAGATGCCCAAACAACGTGCTAACATGTTTTAAAATTATGATCGATAGGTTTGATCAAATAAATAGGTTAAAATTTTAGATAAATTCCTTTAAAATTTTAATCTAAATTTTGACTAACTATAATAAAAGCATATTTCTACAGTATCTTCCAAATAAGGTAAAGTTGCATAAGTAACTTGAAGTGGATTCCTGAGGAGCTTCCAATTACCTCAGGGCACGTAGGACCAGGCCTTGACGCCTTGGAAAGATATTTGGGCCACGGGCGGTACGGCCGGTATATAAGGTAGCGTCCTCTCTTACCGCACAGTACCTCACTCAACATGAAGGTAAGTCCTCCTACGTACACTCAACTCCTTTCTTCTTCTACAATTCTTGTACATTCTCACTGGATTCTAGCAAGGACTTAACTCTTCCAAATTGGTCTTTAATATCATTTTTTAACTTGAAAATTAACTTAATTATATAATAACAATATATCTAAATAGAGAATAAATAGATTCACATCTGTATCTTGTGAAGAAAAAATCATTTTTCTAATTTAAAAATATTCAAAATTATTTCTCATTCCTATCAGACGAATTGCTATATTGAAATTGAAAAGGATTGTGAAGGCTTGGCTAATCAACATGCATATGTAGAATGGAGAATTTAATGGTTGAAGCGACATGGTAGATTAAATTTGTAAAGCTGCTGGGAGAGTTTACCACTGATAAGTTAGGTTTTCACAATAGTTTCAGGCTCTATCTCAAATATCTGTATTTCCCCTAGTTTAGAGAATAGGATTGTTGAAAAGTTATGGTGGATTAAATTGCGAAAAATGAGTGAATTATATATAAATATTCAAAATAGACAACAGCACAAGATACATATATAAGTTCATATCGATTTTTTTTTTTCAATTGAAAGTACTTAAATTTATTCTCTTAGTTTGTCATGTTAGTTGATGAAGTCCGTTGTGAATACGAATTAGACGTAAAGCGGAATTTTTCTAAAGGGCGCAGGCCTCTATAAAATTTAATCAACGTGCTACATTTGAGGAAGAACAATACTCAAAACATTAATTTTAAAGACACAATTTTGCATATATTTAAACGTTCTCATATTCTATTTCCATAATTTATCTTGATACCTTCTCTTACCAAGAATTCCTCCAAACTTGCAGTTAAATAAACTAAACATAAGAATTCAACTTATCCATCTGGTAGACTAAACTGTCTAAACCAGTTATTTAGCGTTTAAAACAGTTTTGAATGATATATGCTGCAATAGGTTATGCCGGTTAATCGCTATTGGTGAGAACTAGGTGTTTTGGTGATCTTTTAGCTTTCTAAGATCCCTATATCCTTCCAAACTATCATTCATCAAGCCAATATTAATAATTCTACTGTCCTAAAAGCTTATGACCATAGTTTACTTAAATACTATTTCTAAGATTCCACCCTTCAGTGCAGGATATAAAAGCAGAATGATCCAATACAGTATTAGAGCTCTAAAGAAGCGGTCTGTTAGATTAAATTGGCGAAGCCGCTGGGAGGGCTCACCACTGATAATCCAAGCTTTCCCAATACTTTTTCATCTTCAATTCACTGATTGTAGCAATTCGTTCTTCATTTGAAAGTAAATATCGTTGAATCAGTATTCCATCCTCAAAAGTACAAAGTCAATATATTTAATAGAACCACACTCAAAATAATAATTATAAGCTAATATTTCAATAAAATGTCAAAATGTTTCATCTAAAAATCTAGTAGTTGTATCTTTTGTTTCATTTTGAAAGATGTTTTTCTGATTGCAAGTCTAAGACGCGGATTCTCAA